CCCTGCCTGGCCCTGTGTGGTGTGCATGCCCTTCTCCGGGAGCTGGAAGTTACATGACTTTTTTGGATGGCATTCTCTCGACGTTGTCACTCTGTAAGTTAAATCCAGGTACAATCGGAACAGGTGGGTCGTACGGGCTGGCCACCGTATGCTATGAGAACCTGTTCTTGACAAATTAGGATGAAAAATCAAGTTCTCAGTTTGCTGGAGTGTCTTGTGGCACGCCCCGTCTCCATCCTGAATACGCCCCAACTCGGAATTTCTGGTTGACCCCAAAGGCTGCAGTGAGTCAAAACCCACAGACACGAGGTGATCTGCTGTGACCACACGGGTCACTGGCTCTGGGAATGATGAACCTGGTGTCCAGGGATGAGGGACAGCACTCAGGCAGTGCCGGCTGAGTAGCCTGGGTCCCCTTGGGGCCGGGACAGGCCCAGGGTGACTCTGGAAGTGGCCCGGGTCAGCCACACGACTGCAAGTGCTGCCTCAGCCCTGGGCCCTGCTTCACAGTTGCTGGTTAACCAAGGGGAGCTTTCTCTAAAGTGGCACGTGTTCTGAACACTCGTCTTCACAGACGTAAGTGCTTCAATCTGCAAAAGGAGAACATCTCATGTAGTTGTGGGGAAATGGGCTAGAGTCCATGTCTAAAGAAGAGACCGGAGGGACAGCCCCTCCAGCCAAGAATTAAGGGCATCATCACCGCAGGGGCAGCCCAGCCATGTGGTGAAATGAGAACAGGCAGAGACCAGCCAATAAGAGCCTAAATGTCTCCCTTTTAACTATTCATTACAGTAAAAGGCTAATACCCAAATTAACCAAATGGAGGAACGACCGGTCGCTATGACACGCACTGACCACTAGGGGGCAGACGCTGAATGCAGGAGCTGCCCCCTGGTGGTTAGTGCACTCCCACAGGGGGAGCACCACTCAGCCAGAAGCCGGGCTCACAGCTAGCGAGCGCAGCGGTGGTGGCAGGAGCCTCTCCCACCTCCGAGGCAGTGCTAAGGATGTCCAACTGACAGCTTAGGCCTAAGCCATCAGTCGGACATCCCCCGAGGGCTCTTGGACTGCGAGCGGGCACAGGCCGGGCTGAGGGACCCCCCTCTCCCGGGTGCATGAATTTCATGCACCAGGTCTCTAGTTCATTATAACTCAGGTCTCTGGTTATCCAAACATGTACTATTTATAGTCCCTTCCGATAGTTATCTATATGAATGCAACCTGACTCAAACACAGAACTCATCCTCTAACAAATAGAAAGCTTCGTACCTGGTCCACAGTAATGGTCCCCTCCTGGTACCCACGCCCTTGCACGTGGGCTAGACCTCCTGACCTGTTTCTAGTGAACCCAACAGAGACTAAGGGACGGGACGCCACAGAGATGAGGCTCCACAGCCTGTGATGCCATCTCGCTCTCTCCCTGGCTCTTGGCTTTTTTGCTCCAATGGAACTGCCAGGTTCTGAGCCGTCCTGTGGAGAGGCCCACGTGGCAAGGAATGCGGGGCCATGGCCAGCAGCCAGAAGGGAAGGGAGCCCTGCCACAGCGCAGGAGAGTGGGGAGCAGGCCCCCTGTGGCCGTGCCTGGGCCACCTCCTCGAGCCTCGCGTGCACGATGGAGCCAGAGGGTCCAGCCAGGTCCTGCTGGGATCCCTGACCCACAGCGACCAGGAGATAATAAATGTATCTTCAGCCACTAAGTTTTGGGGTAATTTGTTATTTTGAGATACAGAATAAATGAATGAGATAAAGAGACAGCAAATGGAAAGTGTACGTGAAAGCCCAGCCAGCGTGGCTCCGTGGTTGAACATCGACCTATGAACCAGGAGGTCACGGTTCGATTCCTGGTCACGGCACATGCCCGGGTTGTGGGCTCGATCCCCAGTAGGGGGCGTGCAGGAGGCAGCCAATCAATGATTCTCTCTCATCACTGATATTTCTATCTCTCTCTCCTTCTCCCTTCCTCTCTGAAATCAATAAAAATATATATTTTTTAAAAAAGAAAGAAATGTATGTGGAAAACTTGAAATGTTTATGTTGTAATAGTTATGCTAAGATTTGTACTCGCAGTTTCCTCTCAGAATCTTTATGGGCTTGCTCTCCTCATTTCCCTACTTACCGGGGAACTGGCATACTTTCAGTAAGACACCTGCCAACAGCTGCCCGGCCACGCAACACTGGCATGTCGGTGAACGTGGTGCGATTATGACAACAACAGTCATGGTAGTAAACGGCAGCACTGGTTTTAAAAAGCAGCAGCAACCCTCGGGAGCCTGGCTTCAGCACTGGGCATGCAGGAGACTGAGCCGCACAAACGCCGACAGGAGAGCGCGCCCAGGGGCACCCGGAGGCTCCATACGGCTGAAGGCTCCGTCTCCATCAGCTGCATTTGCCGAACAGATTTGTGAATATTTATTAAATGTCAATATTCAAGAACTCTATTATACAAGTGTGGTCTTTCTGTTGTTAGTAAGACCTGGTGGCCTTGGGAGCTCACTGTAGTCTAATGCATTAAAATGTCCATGTTGCCGCTGGATGAGAGGAGCAATAGAGGACTTCCTGTGAACGCCCGGTACCTGGAGGAGTTCGCACCCACACAGACGTGACACGTTGGAGCTGGAGCACCTCTGTGAGTTAGAGTTTACCATGGAGATGACGTTCGACTCCACGGAAGAATATGCTTTCCATCTGCCGTGCCTGTTTCTGTCCCTTCCGCTGCGCTCAGGAAGAATGAATGAAATGAACAGGAGCAACTCTCCGACCTTCCTTTTTGGACACTGTCTGCTGCGTTTGTTCACAATCCGTTTCTACAGACAATCGCTGACCACCCCACACGCAGCAGGGGAGACAAGATGCCAGGCACACCTCTCCTTCCTAGAACTTACATGGAAGACACCGTGACGCGTGGATTTTAAAAACACGTAACTGTCTTATGCAGGAGGGAGTCAGAGCCTCGAGAGGAGCTGGGTAAATGCCAGGGCAGTTCAGAGACCAGGGTTTCCTGGACAGACAAGGTCCCCGGCACAGGCAGTGCCTGCAAGGGCTTTGCCGGATCCCAGACAAGGGCCCCCAGGCCCTGCCCTGCTTCTCTCTCCAGCCCCCTCCCCGCCCTCAGCGGCACCGACTTCCTTTCCTTCCTCACAAGCCCTGCCTTCCGTGGCCTCCCCAGGCCTTTGCCTCCGCTGTGGTCTTCCTTCTTCCTGGAAGCTTCTGGTCCCCCATCCCCCGGTTCTGGGGCCTGCTTAGCCCATTCCGGGGCCCACACCCCTCCCTAAGCAGCCAGCTGCCCCTTGGGATGGCAGGAGCCTTTGTTCCACCCGTGTGATGGAGGTTCGTCTGTCCACATTCCGCTGCCCTTCCTCACTTCCCCTCCTCCAACAGGGACCAGCCTGAGGCTCCTTAACCCCAGGTGAAGGGAGACTCCTGTGTGAGCCGCTGTGAGCCACGGGAAGGCACCAGGCCAGGCCAGGGCAGGGTCTCGGCGGGACTGCAGCAAGAGCGCCCCTAAACATGTGAGGTGCTGATAGGATGGATCGGACAGTTTTTTTGATGGAAGATTGTACATTAAGTGAAAAAGCAGTTTATAAAACCGTATGTATAATATAATCCCACTTGAGGTATATTTAGAACTGTGTGTGTGAACATGGAAAAGTCTAGAAGGATTCACACTAACAGGTTTAGGATACTGAGTTATCTCTAGGCTGTGTGAGTATGGATAATATTTTACTTTCTGTTATTCACCTGCATTTTCTACTTTTCGCCTATGCACATCTATTCCTCTTACAAATTTTTTTTAAAAGGGAAAAGAATAAAAGGCAAGGTAATGAGGGTGTGAATTAGGAAAATGGCAGCGGAAAGAAGGCTGAAGGACCAAATCTGAGATG